AGCACCAGGATCAGCGCCAAGCTCCAGCTGGATCCTGGTGCTGATCCTGGCGCTTCCACTGAGCCCTGATAGCCCTGCAGCTCCAGCCGTCTCTCGCTCAGGCTTGTGCGGTGCTGCCACCGGTTCAGCTCATTCCCCTCCCCCACTACCACTTTTCTAGGATGCTCACGTACCACCTGCCAGGTGCCAATGTACCACAGGTGGTACCCGTACCACTGGTTGAAAAGCCCTGTTTTAGAGACCGAGTGCCCAAAAACTGGCCCCACCCCTGCTCCACTCCCTGCCCCATTCTCACCCTGCCTGCCCGCAGGGCCACTCACCGCCTCCACAGCCCGCTGCAGATCACCCAGGCAGCCCAGCAGCGCCATGGCAGCCACGCCCTCTGCCCGTGCCCTGCAGTATCAACTGTGCGCGATGGGGTGTGAGGGCAGAGTCTTGTCTACGCTGCCTGGCTGCCATGTCCTTGGCTGCGCTGCTCCGCATGGGCCACACTCGGGGGGTGACTTTCCTCCAGGGAGGCTGCTAGTGAGGAGGGGGTTGTGGGGGGAGGCCAGACTGGGGCAACAGCATGTGTGCCCACAGAGAGGGCTCTGAGTGCCACCTCTGGCACCCGTGCTATAGGTTCACCACCACTGTCATAGATCATTCTTCACATGAAATGGCAGTGAAGCAAGCTTGTTTATCAGCAGCAAAAAAGCAAAGAGAAAAACTCATCCCTCTGCTCTTTGCATGGCATAGAATTGGGGAAAAAATATATTCTTGAAAGTGAACACTCTACCTCAGCCTAAAACAAGCCAGAAATTTGTGGGAGAAGGAGAAGAGACATCCTGGTGATAGGTTTTTATAGGATCAACAGTAAAGATCCTAATATGTATACAAATGGTTCTCAATCCTTCCAATTATAAGAACCCAAGATGGGGAAAGAGGGGGGAAATGCTGAAGATATTGGAGAATCACAGATCATCAAACTAGACACTGATGAACTAGATGACAAAAACACTACATTGTGATATAAAATAAGTGCATGATGTCCCTAAACAGTGTTTAAAAATGCCCTCCATCTTCTCTACCATACAGCCTTTCCATCTTGTGGTGCCTAGAGGTGTGTCTTCATAGCATATAGCTTAAGAGAAAGACTTACTGCTTAAAATTTGCTTCAGTTATTTGGGCTGTACTATGACGTGTATGATCAGCAGAGTACTTGTCAGTTAGCCACAAACATTACACTAACTAAAATATTAAACCTATCCCAATGAAATCGTCCTAACATCTCCCCTTTAGGATGTCTGAGAAGAAATAAAAGAGAAGATATGGAGAAAACTCCAGATAAGGGCTTGAGAAGCTAAGGACTTGAAGAGACAAGAATAATCCAAGCAACTCTTAAGTATCTCCTGGGTCTAAATCAGTCCCTGATAACTTACCAAGAGCCAGCAGAAAGTCAAAGAGGTAATAAGTCAGCAATACATCCATTCTCTTTAGAACCAGAGAGAATGGAAGGCTGGAGTTGAGGTGGCAACTGCATCAACATCTGGATTCTTCTAGCTGAGGAAGCTTCCTGGACTGGAAAGGATATAAGAATGGGCCAGGGGAAAGGGCAGATTCAAAGTCCTACTTATACAATCCATCACTTGCTAAAACTCAGCCTGAATGTCAGAATCCAATTATATTTCATTTCTAGCTACCTACTCTGAAAAAAGACCCATTTCTTACTCTTTGTGGATTCTGTCATACTACAAAAGGGGAGGAGGGAGCAAGGGGGTTTATGACTCTCACTTCCTTCATTTAAACTACAAAGGACTGGATGCGATTCTTATCAAGAGGACTGACCATAACAATATGGCCATAGCCTTTCATCTACTCTCTCTCTGAAGTCTCCCTTTTGCCGGCAGTGAGGGGAAAGGGGTGGAACAATGTAATGCCTGGGATCGTCGCTGGAAGGACGGTGGGGTGGGGGCTGCTTGGGAACACTTAAAACATTAAAGGGTAGGGGTTGACCCCTCAGATCCTGTCTAGAACGCCTGCAACCATCTTCTCTTAATAAAGATGCCTGTTGGAAGAGATATTCCAAGAGTTCTGTCTTCTTAAGATGTAAAGTGGGGTGGGTCCTTACACTGAACTTGCTGACCCATTATCATACTGAAGGATATTCTAATTCATTCAAAACAAGTATCTGTTTACCTCTGAGCTCTCCCCATATTCCTACTTAACCCCACCCCATCCCCCCCAAAAAGAAAAAAAAACATGAGATTTTTTTTGACCAGAGAAACTCAAAATGGTTGAATCAGAAGGAAATCTTCCCGAGTTCCAGGTAACACAACTGGTATTCACAATATTTAGGATTCAGCCTGTTTACCTGAAAGTGAGACCAACTGAATTCTTTAGGACTTACTCCTAAGCCAACACAACAGGGTCAGGGATGTCAGTTACATAAGCTTTTCTCAATAACTTGGGCATCAGATATGGAATCATGCAAGCCATTGCTGATCCAAAGTTATATACCCATTGCATGCTGTCAGTTTAATGTTCTCCAGCAGCTAGTTTACATTTGGGAGCTGAAAGATATTTCTCTTAATTCTTATGTCACTGTCTTTCTTAGATTAAGGTAAATAACACACTCTATTAGAAGTGGGGGAAAAATATTATTGGCTAACACGATTATGACATCAGTGGCTCGTTCCACCAACCACAGGAGACCACAGGTTAGAGTTCTGTATCCATTCTTTGTTGACAGTTACCTCGGTGGTCATAAAGTCAGTTCCAGAATCAAGTTGCACCCATTTGACACCAACTTGGGATTCCTGTGTCACTCTTCTTTGATTCCAACTCCTCAACCTTAAACCTAGATATTTTGACAGTTTGGGCAGTTGATTGGTTCCAGAGAATTAGGTCTCAGGTTTCCTTCCTGATACCCAAAATAGCCACCCCACCTTGTTCCATAAGCAACTTAGCTCTGGTGAACCCGTGCCAAATGGAACTCATTGTGTAATTTGTGTAGGTAAGCTGTCATTTGGGAGGAGTTATGAGACAACATTTGCCCTTAGAAGAATCTGAAAGGGAGAGATATGGGTGAAAGCCTACTATTAAATTCCTTTAGAAATCCACCTAGGAGGCTTTATATGAGGTCAAAGTAGGAATGCTCAAAAATTGAGAAGTGAGCAGATTTGCGCATTCTCAACTGATAAACCTCAAACCCCCAAAAGGAAATGATGGGTGTCACAGATCCTTCCTCAAATGTAGTTTTTGATTAAGGAACTCGTATATATTCCTGGCATATTTTGTCACTGGGTAATTTCCAGAAAGTGCAATGATTGCTTTTTTGATCACTGAGTAACAGAGGTTATCTTTACTAATAGTCCATATGCTGACATAAATTGTTTCGGCTCCTCCCCTCGGAACGCTACTATAGGGCATTGCGTGCCAAAACAACTAGACACAAAGACAATTTTTTTCCCGTGCGATCACTCTGATGAATACCTAATCCCCACAGCACTGTTTTATGCCTAAGGATATTTACCCATGTAGTATGGCTGTGTTACTATTATCCTTCTCATCTCTTCTATTACCTTCTCCTATTGGTATCTTATGATTATGATTATGTTACTTGTTTGTTGTTTGTCTCCAGAGTTATATACCAGAGACAAATTCCTTGTGTGTCCAATCATACTTGGCCAGTAAAAAACTATTCTATTCTATTCTATTCTATTCTATTCTATTCTATTCTATTCTATTCTAGTCTAGTCTAGTCTAGTCTAGTCTAGTCTAGTCTAGTCCAGTCCAGTCCAATCCAGTCCATATTCTATTCTATTCTATGCCATGCCATGCCATGCCATGCCATGCCATTCTCTGCTGTGCTGTGCTGTGCTATGCTATGTTATGCTACTCTATTCTATTCCATTTTCTATTCTATTCTATTCTATTCTATTTCTTTCCACCCAATTTAATTTGGTCTTCTCCAGAAATCACCATCGTAAGAGGAGATGCTTAGGATCTTAGTAGCCTCCTCAAATTATGTTCCACGGGATTTCCTAATTTTTTTTATTTCTTGGGAAATTTACTGGGTAGCATTGGAAATTGCTCCTTTGTGGACTGAGGTTTGGTGCTCGTATGACACAACTGACTGAAATAATCCCAGGATCAAAGGTGTCTCCTGATCAAATTAGGTTCCGGTGTTTGTATAACATATTAATCCCACCCCATATCTAGCTCAGCGTGTTAGGGAAACCCATCCAGTAAATTCTGAAGAGGAAACCTCAATTTAAAAATACTTACTTATTTGATTTGTATGCTGCCCATCTCACCTGGAAAATCTTTCTAAAGATTTTAACCAAGGTAGGTCCATCATAAATTTGAAGGTTGCTAAGTGATTGATTATTCTCCAATCCCGTAACAGGTAATCCTCAAGGACTGGAGAATAATCGTATTAAGATGATTTGAGAACCGTGCCAGAAATCCTGTGTATTTTTCCCAAAGTTTTATAGAATATGATAAATTCCAATAGTCAAGAGGACACTCTGCTAAACCAACAAGGGATAGGGAGAATTAGAAAATGTATTTGTAACAAAAAGAAAATAAAAGAGGGAACAAGGATGTAACGCCAGAGAGACTTTATTATTATTATTATTATTATTATTATTATTATTATTATTATTATTATTATTATTATTATTATTGTTGTTGTTGTTGTTGTTGTTGTTGTTGTTGTTGTGGTTGTTGTTGTTGTGGTTGTTGTTGTTGTTGTTATTATTATTAATTCTAGAGACCAAGTATTATTGTAAATAAATGCCTTCATTCCTTCTCCCACTTTGTTTGAAAGATTACTAGACCTCGTGGATGAAAAGAACTTGAAAATTTTATTGGTAATTCCGGAGACCACCAAGATGGCGGCCTTTTTATCAAGCACAGAGGAGGAACCAGATGACTTCAAAAAAAGTTCTGGACGAAGAAGACACTGGCAAGGGCCGAAAAAATGGTGCTTGAGGAAGAAATAACACCCCACACACCCTTGTCGGTGCAAGCTGCCTTCACACTCAATTTATAGATCTTCCCTCCAAATGGCACCAGGTCATTCTGTTGCAAGCTGCAGGCATTCTTAGTTGCACAGCCCTTGATGGCAAAGGATTGATTCGTAGAAGCTGCAGAGAGAGAAATAAGCTGAGCTACATTTGTGCAAACAGAGGAATCACTTTGGCATGGGGAATTGTGGCCTGTGAGTTCAACTCTTGAGTATTGTCTTGCATGTGCGAATCAAACAACACTGAACTTCCTAAGTAGAGTCTATTATTTCACCCCGCAACTATCAGTAGCCTTCCCAGGAGTGCCTGTTTCTTGACCTCATCTTCCTCAAAGGCTAATTTGGAAGCCCCCTAAGGGTTTAACCCCTTCTCATACCAAACAAAATCAAGACAAGAGTTATTTTGAGGTTTGTTTGTTTTTTCTCATGCTTTCCTCTTTTTCAGGACTGAGTAATCTTTTCTGAAACTTATTCCCTCCCCAGAGAAGAGCAACTAAGATGATCCAAGGCCTGGAGACTAAAACATATGAAGAACGGCTGCAGGACTTGGGTTTGGCTAGTCTAAAGAAAAGGAAGAAATAAGGGAGACATGATAGCAGTGTTCCAGTATCTGAGGGGCTGCCACAAAGAAGAGGAGGTCACGTTATTCTCCAAAGCACCAGAGGGCAGGACAAGAAACAATAGTTGGAAACTGACCAAAGAGAGAAGCAACCTGGAATTAAGGAGAAACTTCCTGACAGTGAGGACAATCAACCAGTGGAACAGCTTGCCCCCAGAAATCGTGGGCACTCTATCACTGGAGATTTTCAAGAAGAGACTGGACATTCACCTGTCTGAGATAGTATGGGTTCTCCTGCTTGAGCAGGGGGCTGGACTAGAAAACCTCCAAGATCCCTTCCAGCTCTATTCTATTCTAAACTGGAACTTGATATCCCCTTCCCATGGGCAGGTCAAGATTCCTTCACCATGATGAACTAAGGAACAGCACATATAAATTGACTCTGTTTTGCATTCCAATTCTTTAGGGCAGGGCTGTCCAATCTGGGCAATTTTAAGACTTGTGGACCTCAACTTCCAGAATTCCTCAGCCAGCTATAGGATCATGGTGTGATTGTAGCCAGTATATTGAGGGGACAGGGTGGGTGGATGAATGATTAAATAACTGAAAAAATACCAATAGATGCTCCTGTGAGAGTAATGCATTTCTCTTCAGTTCCGATGCAGGTAATGTGACTTTTGATTTCACACTCTTTCTGATTGTAGCTTTCACAGGCCGGACAAGACACCCCGTTTTCCAAAGTACCAACCGGGGGAACTGTAAACCAAGATAGATTTCACCTTAGCATCCAAATGAGAAGATATATCAAGGGAACTGTTGGAGGTACAGTGTCAAAAACTCAGGATTGCCGCCATGATCACACCACACCTCTGATTTTGATCGTTTTGATAGCCACGGTGCTATCCTGAATTCTTTGATACATGCACCATTACTACCCCTAAGCATTTTGACGGATAAGCATCCTGTAGCACTAAGTCAACTGTTGGCTATTAAGATATCTTTTTCCCCTTAGACTTATTGTATTTTAACCAGTTTTCCATTGGCTTGGAAGATTTTTTGTTTTATCCATCCAACTCTGAATAGGCTGTCTTTGAGTGGGGGTTGGCTAGTTCCATTCTAAATTTCTCCTATTCTTTTTTAATCCTAGTTTAGACATTGATCCATAAGCAGAATTTCTAACAGATATGCATTAGCCCAGGGGTAGGCCACCTTGGCTCTTTTATGACTGGTGGACTTCAACTCCCAGAATTCCTGAGCCAGCCATGCTGAGGGGAAAGGGAGAGGTTGCCATGCTGAGCCATGCTGGCTCAGGAATTCTGGAAGTTGAAGTCCACCAGTCATAAAAGAGCTAAGGTTGCCTACCCCTGCATTAGCCTCTGGGTCAAGAGCCATTGTAGAGTTGTCCTCCTTAGAACTTGGACACAAAAGTGTTGCATTGCGGATTTAGAAGATAATAGGCCCCTCTGTTCCTCATTGTCTGCTCTGTCCTTAGGAATAGATCCTATACTGTACCTCTGATTTAAGGCTGTAGGGACAAGAATCTAGAAAAATACAGGAACAAGCATGCAATAAGGTAACTACTTAGCCAGAAATGAGCAGCTGAGCCACTATTTTTTTATTTACTTAGGAGGTGCGTGGCACAGAAATCTTTATTGTTTCTGTTGTTTTATTTTTTCCTACGGAAAGTCAGTGCTTGTATGACTTTTCATCTGTTCCGAGCATTAATTTAGCGGCTTTCTAAAATTGCTTTCTGTCTCTTGAGAAGCTCTGTATTTTTCCCTCCTTGCCAATTTATATTTTAAATAGGATTATCCAAAGGAAGGAATAGAATTCTTATATTGTAGTTTCCTCTTTTAAATAAAATAACTCAATTAAAAAAAAAAAAAAAAGAACGGTTCCCAAACCCAGGAAATACTCACCACTTAGACTTAACCCTTCGTTGCACATATCTGTTGAGCAACATGCCATATTGCTTTGGATGTGGCGCCCAGTAGCTGTGGTCAAGGTGAAGGTCAAAGGTCTACAAAGCTTTTGGTCAATGCATCCTTTGTACGATCCACTGGGTTTGACATCTCCACCTGGGAAGAATGAATGAAAAGCAAGTAGAGAAAAATCGATCCATTCCACTGCCTCTGGTAAACTAGCAACTCCAGCTTCCTTAGATTCTACTGAGTATTCTTTATTTACTTGAGTTTTATCCTGATTTTATTACTTTATAAGTAACTCAGGGCAATGAACATACAGTACATACAGCTCCTTCCTCCTCCTATTTTCCCCACAACAATCCTGTGAGGTGGGCTAAAAGAGGGTGATTGGCCCAAAGTCCCCTAGCTGACTGTGATGCCTAAATCAGGATTAGAACTCACCATCTGCTGGTGATTGGCCCACAGTCACCCAATCCACTTTCATGCCTAAGGCAGGTTTAGAACTCATTATCTGCTGGTGATTGGCCCACAGTCACCCACTCCATTTTCATGCCTAAAGCGGGATTAGAACTCACAGTCTCCTGTTGATTGGCCCAAAGTTCCCCAGGTGGTTTTCATGCCTAAGGAGGGACTAGAACTCACCGTATCCTGGTTTCTAGGCCAGCACCTTAACCATTACACCCAGCTGGCTCTATGCGTGGCATCTGATGAGACCCAGCACTCTTACCCAGTGTATTGACTTCTGCCAAAGTTACACATGCAACCCCCAGATCTGTGCAATTATCTCTGCATTCAGTGCTTCCAAGAGGACATGAAACACAGGTTAAATTTGCCATTCCTAGGGGGAGAGAGAAAGTGTGAGTTACTGAAAGAAAAAATGAGCACTTCTCTGCTGTAGACCCAACCAGGCCTTGATCTTTGGACCATCGAAATTGGAAATGTCCACTCCGAGGGCAGCTCTGATAGCTCCAACACTCATTTTTCTTTTCCTCTTCCTCCTTTGGTGTTTACCTACATATAAGCTGCTGGTTCTACTGCAAGGAACAAATGAGTATAGTTAATGCTCAACTTACAACCACCATTTGGGCTACAGTTTCCACTGCTGAGTGAATTGCGGCCATTTTGTTCTCCTTTTTAGCCACGGTTCTGAAGCAAATCACTCCCATTGTTAAGTCAATCATGTAGTCATTAAGTAAACCCAACTACCCCCCATTGACTGCTTGTTGGAAGTCAGCTGGGAAGGTCCCAAATGGTGATCACTTTACCCTGGGATGCGGCAACTATCAAAAATAGCATGCCGGTTGCCAAGCACCCAAAATTTGTGCTGTAAGGGATGCTGGGACAGTCGTAAGTGCAAGGATTGGATGTATGTAAGTCACGTTTTTCAGTGCCTTTGTAACTTCGAATGATCACTAAACGAATGGGGTAAGTTGAGGGCTGCCTTTACTTGATGCCTATAATCCATTTGCAACCGTCTGCCCAGGAATTCACACACCTAGCACAAACCCAGAAATTTGGGGTTGAAAGGACTCACCGTGGACATAAGGGAGGACAATAAAAATAAGGCAGAGGATCAAACTTCCCTTCATTGTTCCTTGTGGGAAGAACAAATACAGCTGAACACAGGAGTAACTCCAACGGTGATGCTTTCTGTTGCACAAAGAAACAAATATTTCATCAATTTGCTTCAAATCAGGACTTCACCTTACACAGCTATATATGGCTTGGCTTTGCGAGAGGAATGATACAGTAACTAAGTAGTCCTTGAATTAAATCTGGCCTCTAAAATGTGCCCCATCATTTCAAAAATCTCTTGGAGAATAAAAGTTGGTTGGCAAAGAGAAGATGAGTGAGTTTGTTATTGTATGATGGATTATCTGGGAGATTCTCAGTCCTCCAGGTCAGGGCTTTTCAACCAGTGGTAGGGGTACCACCTGTGGTACATTGGCACCTTGCAGGTGGTACGCGACCATCCTAGAAAAGTGGTAGCGGGGGAGGGGAATGAGCTGAACCGGTGGCAGCACCGCACAAGTCTGAGCAAGAGACGGCTGGAGCTGCAGGGCTGTCAGGGCTCAGCGGAAACGCCAGGATCAGCGCCAGGATCCAGCTGGAGCTTGGCACTGATCCTGGTGCTTCTGCTGAGCCCTGAAGAAGCACCAATCAGCTGGAGCTCAGCACTGATCCTGGTGCTTCTGCTGAGCCCAGAAGAAGCGCCGATCAGCTGGAATATTGCAGCATCTCCGGGGTCTTGTGATTTATATTCAGATGCTTGGCAACTGATTCATATTTATGATGCTCAGTGTCCCAGGGTCATGTGAATTGACCAAAACCTGCTGCAACCACCCAGCAGATGGGGGAATAAAAACCAAACACTCCCCACCCACCCCCACTGCCAATCCTCAACAGAAATGCTCACAACAATGGATAGAGTAGAGGAGATAGTGAAAGAACCAATGATTGCATGGGCAAAAAACATAGGGCACAATATAGAATTAGAAGATTGGGAAAGAATTTGGAATAAAAATCACAAAATAACAAAATCCGCCGCATATAAGGAAAATCAATATAAAATGCTATATCGTTGGCACCTAGCCCCTGCAAGATTAGCCAAAATGTATCCAAAC